CCCAGGCCCAGAGTTCAGGCCCCACAACCGGACCCCCCCCAAAAAAAAAGTCTCAGGGACTTTTCTGAGCTATATCCACAACCCCCTAATTTGTACTAAACACTCACCAAAAACAACCACTATTTGCCTTTGCTTTTGTTCATTCAGCACTGATTAAGCACCTGCTGTATTTAAGCCCAGGAAGAGGAGACAGAAGTTGCAAAGGTCCTGGGGTAGAAACCTATGAAGCAGTCTTCCTTCCTTCCTTCCTTCTTCCTTCTTGTTCTCTTCAGCATTGTGAATCAAACCCAGGACCATGTGCCCAGCAGGTGCACACACTAGCACTCACCCACCCCTCCTTATTTTCTCCCCAGAATTGTTCAAGGTTTTAGATACACATGGGTGAACAAAACAAGTTCAGTTCTATCCTTAAATCTTTTGGTTCTTTTTTTTTGGTCAGTTGTGGGGCTTGAACTCTGGGTCAGTTCTTCAGCACAAGGCTAGCGCTTTGCCTCTTGATCTACAGCGCCACTTCTGGTTTTCTGGTGGTTTACTGGAGATCAGAGTCTCACAGACTTTCCTGCCCAGGCTGGCTTTGAACCTCGATTCTCAGATCTCCGCCCTGAGTAGCTAGGATGACAGGCGTGAGCCACCAGCGCCAGGCCCTATCCTTAAGTTTTTGTGGTGGGTATGTGCCATGGCTTGAACTCAGGACTTTGTACTTGCCCCAGCTTGCTCCAGCTTGCTAGCTTACTGCTGGTGCTCTACCACTTGAGTCATGCCTCCAGCTGAGCTTTTTGCTGGTTCACGGGAGACAAGGAGTCTCATGGATTTTCCTGCCCTGACTTGTGTCAAGCCCCTATCCTGTAGATCTGACACCTGAGTATCTGGGATTATGGGTGTGAGCCACAGGTGCCTGGCCAGGTTGCTTATATTTTCATAGGAGACACAGGTAAATTGCTGATATAATTTAGTGTCAGGTGATCAGTGGAGGAGGGACGAAGGAGAGGGGTGGTCAGAGAAGGCTTCTCTGAGGAGGTGGCCTCATTTGCACCAGGCCTGGAGGAGGAAGAGACAAAGTGTGTTTGGGTTGTGTGTTTGGGAGAATTGCATGGACTTTGGCCCATGGTATTTCCCCAACCCACACTAACCGCTACCCCGGAGCTAGCTTCCAGTGGGGCCTCGTGTCCACACAGGGGACTTCCAGTGGGAGCTGGAGGCTTCTGTCTCTGCCTCTTCTTTTTTTTGGGGGGGGGTCCGGTCGTGGGGCCTGAACTCTGGGCCTGGGCGCTGTCCCTCAGCTCTTCAGCTCAAGGCTAGCGCTCTACCACTTGAGCCACAACACTACCTCCGGCTTTTTTCTTTTTGCTTATGTGGTGCTGAAGAATCCAACCCAGGGCCTCATGCATGCAAGGCAGGCGCTCTTCCACTGAGCCACCTTCCCAGCCCTGTCTCTGCCTCTTCTTGCTGGCCTTTTGCTGGCCTTCCTGGGAGCAGCTCCAGTTTGGGGGGGCTGGAATCCCCCCCAGTTCTTTTTTTTAATCATGGGGCTTACACTGAGGACCTGGGCGCTGTCTCTGAGCTCTTCAGCTCAAGGCTAGTGCCCTACCACTTTGAGCCACAGTGCCACTTCGAGTTTTCTAGTGGTTCATGTGGAGATAAGAGTCTCACAGGGATTTTTCTGCCTGGGCTGGCTTTGAACTGCGATCCTCAGATCTCAGC